AATATCTATATAATATCTATATAATATCTATATAATATCTATATAATATCTATATAATATCTATATAATATCTATATAATATCTATATAATATATATATAATATATATATAATATATATATAATATATATATAATATATATATAATATATATATAATATATATATAATATATATATAATATATATATATATATATATATATATATATATATATATATATATATATATATATAATATATATATAATATATATATATATATATATATATATATATATATATATATAATATATATATATATATATATATATATATATATATATATATATATATATATATATATGAAATTGTTTGTGTATGTATGTATGCATGTATGTATGTATATATTTATATATTTATATATGTATATATTGATTTTTAGATTTGTGGTGTAAGAACATAGAAAATATAAGTATAGAATGAAGACTACTGGTGTGTGTCTGTGTGTATTTGGTTTTAGATCAACTGAGTAGTTGTAATATAAGTGACATACAATATATAGAAAGCTGTATGAAGGGAAATGGAAAAGGAGATGCGGGATCTGATATATTATGCAAATATGATCATTAATGTTTAGTTTTTTTACTTGACCATGAGCTACACAGAAAATGGAAATTGTGTGAGTTTATAAGTCTGGTTTTTTAGTTCTCCAGAATTGAACATTATAGTTAATTGGAATGCTGTCTTAGCAGCTTGACTCTTTTGGTATATTCATTAGGGTGTGGGTGTCATGTATAAAATAATGATTCAAGCTAATTTAAGATATATTTATGAATAGATTTTGCTATATATATTTGGTAAAGAATACAAACATGGTACAGTATATTAGTATCTATGATCATGAAACACCTCCATTCGAAATTAAGTGAAGCATTGAATATTTCAGGCTGCTTTCCGAATTTTTCATGGTTCGTACAAGAGAAAGTGACTGCTATCTAATGTTAACTTGTGTGGACTTGCTTCTGTAACACTGGCATGGGCATTTATGCAATAATGCTTTTTCTTTACACCATGTGAAAAATGTTCTGCTATATCTACATTTAACATTCCTTGAAAAAATTATTCTGTGGTTTATTGCATGAGAAAACGTTGGGGATCATATTGACTATACTTAGTTTTAACTCCTTGTCACCCGGAAAATGCTGTGCCCGTTTTAGAAATTTTTGTGAAATGTCTTTGCACATAGATGGCTCTGCAAGTTCTTAGCAACAAAGGAGTCAATTAGTAGACCTTGTGGCCTTATCTGGTTTCACCTTTCTTTGAATTTGCAGGAATTTTTTTTTTTTTTTTACTAGTGCTATGAATATCGATGGTGTTATATTTGTTAAAGACATTATAATTACTGTAATGTTATTGACAGTAGTAACAGCAATATAAGATAACGTAAAATATTTTTAAAAATTCAAGGGAAAGGGTAAACAAGGCGAGACAGGTAGTACTTGTCATTGGCTCCTTGGTAACTTAGAGCAATTGTAGCCATCTATGTGTAAAAAAAATTGATAAAGTAAACTCACAGTGGGCATGGCATATATGTACATGCCATGTCCATCGGCTTTGGGTTAAAGGTTACATAATTTCCGAAAAAGTATTGGAGGATTATATATATATAATGTTGAATGTAGATAATTGTATCTTTTTACCATATATTACCAGTGTGGTTGCAAAATTTGATATTAATAGTCAGTCAGTTGTATGCTGATGACTGATGTAAGGCATTGGCTCAAGAAATGTTGAGTAATAATATTATTTGTTATTGAAGGGTATTTTTGTGTATGTGCTGTTGCGTTGCTGGGAATCTGAAGTACAATCTGTAAAAGACTCATGAATACAATTATAAGGATTATTGTTCTTTGCCATGGTCTCATTTGAATTTGAGAATCAGATCATTTTTAATATTGTCAGACCTGCCCCCCTCTCCTGCCCTGTTATTACAAGAAGGAAGCAATAGATATTGACATTGTAAACATAGGTATTGTTAGATAGAAAAGTCAAAAAGTTTTGTTTTTATAATAGAATGTACTTAGTCTATCTGCACATTATTAGATCTGATATTTCTTTCTTTTTGTGCACAAGCAGTGATTTTAGTTGGGTAAATTTGACATTTCATTCTGTTAGTTGTATTATATATGGTTCTGTCATTATTAAAGGTATCTGAAGGAACTTGTTTGAGAGTGTCTGTATGTCTCTGTATGTTTGTATGTATGTAATCAAAGATTTCAGAACGGACTAAATGCTTTTCATCTGTCAGAGAGATCTAGTCCAAAGATTATGTGGATCACGGATGATAGCCTAATGGAGAGAGTGAGAGAATGAGACACCCTTCCCAGTGGAGAGGGGCAGAGATCTAAAGGTCATAGGCATGCATGATCTAGAAAATTCCTCTGGAGAAGACTTGCATGAATTCTCCCAAACGGCATAATCTATGGTACAGTGACTCTTTCATTGATGTCGGGACAGGCTGTGTAGTATCAGAGCCCAGAAAAACTTTTGCTAGCACTTATCTCTGTTGATTGGTGTGAGGGGAAACCATTCCCTGTCACTTATCCTAGCAGCAAAGAGCCAATCATTGAAGTGAGAATGAGAGCATGAGCTTGGAATTTACAAAATTAGAAATGGGCCCAAGGACTTGTACACTTTCATACACTTTCATAGTCTGTATTACCATTTCCAGTGATTTGTATCATTATGATAAACCCCCTTGGTGGAAAGTTTAGGCTGAAAGGTAGGAAGCAGAACAGTAGAGTTCTTCCTTCTACTGTGAAACTAAGGGTTTATAGACATATGTGAGTACATGCTCTTTAGGAATACCATATGACAGAGGGTGAGACTTGCCTATATGACTGACAACTTGCATAAGTTTAGACACTGAAGGGGAAACACACAAAGAGATCCATATCAACCATAGAACTCACGAACTGAAGCACCTGAAATCTAAAAAGAAAGGAGAAAGTGAGGAGGAAGGGAGGGTGAACCAGCCCCCCCCCCCCCAACCTCCATACAATAAAGGGAAGTAAAGAGCCAATTGAGAAGGAGGGATGGAGGAAAAACTGTAAGGAAACAAAAGTGAAAGGGGATATAATGAGTATACTAAAAGAAAAGAGAAAGAAAGAAAGAAAGAAAAAAGCAAGCAAGCAAGCAAGTTTATTCCCTTTTAACCTACTGCTGCAGAGGTTGGCATGTACACACATGCCATGCCCACTGTGAGTTTAGTTTATTAACCCATTAGATCCAGATGCTTCACTGCTATCACATGGCCCAAAATTTAGCTTGTAGGCTGGGTGTAAACAAAAACTTATGTATAGTGACAATACTCAATGTTATTTTGTCTTCCTCTGCATAAGCATTTTTAGCTTTATGTTATTTTCTAATATCCATATTTGTCATTTGATTTTCTTTAATCAGATGGTAAAAACTGTTTTTCGTGCACAGATTCCATATCATCTCTCTAAATAGTCCATAACTCAATGCAAGAGTAATAACAGTAAATGCCATTTTGTTATTTGTATTTTTTATTTATTTTTTTTCATAATATTCAATTTTCTGTAATACAACCTGTGCTGTAGGTCATGGTGTCCAGGAATAAGATCCTGAGCATGGAAATAGCATCCTCCCTAGAGCTGGTGTTCTTCTAGTTATGGCTGACAGACATTACATTCCACACTCATTTAATGATGGAAATAATGCAAAAGCTCCTTCCTTTTTCCCATCAGCCTGACCTTCAGCTTAAATGCACATGACAGCAAGTCAGTGTCACCCTGGCCCACAGCCAGGTTTTCCCACGAGGGCCTGTTCATGTCACCCACCCCGCAAGCCACATTTTTTCATGAAGTAATGGCCACTTCATCTGGATCATAGGGGTTAATTGTCCTTACACATAAATGGGAATACAAATGAGGGAATAGAAGGAATAAAAGTGAGCACTTGTGGAGCTATCTATTTGAAAAGACATTTCACACAACAACTTCAATTAGCATTACATGTTCCCAGTGGCATTAGGTTAACACGAGAAGAGAATCTCATTCTCTCATTCTCATCCTCTTCCCTGACTCAAGGATGTGTGGTTAGCTTGGGTAATATTTCTGATTAGGCTGTCGTAAGTTATTGCTAATTTTTATAACCTGCACACAAGACCTTAGGGCACAAGAAGATACAAATTATTTATCTTTTCTCTAACTTACTACAAAGTCAGTCATGTTCAGAAACAAATATCTAAAATAAGCTCCTCTCACCATTACACTGCTTGGCTGCTAGTCTTGGTATCACTTGGTTACACACTTGTTTAGGTCAGCAGATTTGGGGTACATGTTAACCCTCTCATACACTGATGATGTGAATCATGCATTGGTCAGTTATGGTCCTAGAGAGACACAGTTGTCATAATGTTCACTTACTGCTAGGCCAACAAATAAAAGTTCATTTGAACCACTTAATAGTTTGACTTTGAATGGTAAAGGCTGATCAGCAGTATCTGGGATGTGAATGAATTTTTCCATTATCCAGGCTAGAGTTGGATCCTTGGGTCTGAGCAGTGTTCATTGCAAAAATGTAGAAAAGGTGTGAATGAGAATGAATATATTTATAATGCAAGATGTATATTTGACAGGTATTGATTTTATCTCCATCAGAAATCCATTGAAACCAGTCATATACATATCTTGCACTGTGAAGATATTGGTTCTCATTCATACCTTTTCTCCTGAGGTCTTTTAGTTAAAAAACACAGACAATTAGTGAAAATGTTCAGTATGTGAGAGGGTTAAAGTTGTTTATAGATTTGCCTAGCTTTGGTTTGGAGCTGAGTATTCCAGAAATCACTATTAATTCAGATACTCCCAAGACTTACATCTTTGCTCTCAGAAAATAGATATAAATAATTAATAATGCAGCTAGAATAGTTATGGGTATGACTATCTTTGTTATATTTTTTTAGGAGGCTAATCCATTCTTAAATATTTCTCTTCTAGGGTCTTTGGCCACTTTGACATGCCATTATTTTTGGAGTTATGCAAGAGTGTTCAGACCATTCATTTGTATAAAGGACAGCCACTCTTTAGTGTTGGTAAGTATATCTTATACATACTGATATAGCTGTAATATTTTATACTGTGTGTACCATGTGCTAATTGGATGATTTCTGTATTCTACTTGAAATGTAAACTGAATCCAACTTGTTTCCTTCTAATTACAGGTCAGACAGATGAAAATATTTATATAGTGCAGACTGGACGTTTGAGTGTGTACGTGTGTGAGCCAGATGGCACTACCACCTTTACGCTGAAAGAGGTCTTACCTGGAGAGTCTATCATCTCACTGCTATCTTTCTGTGATGTCTTGACTGGCCATCCACAGCCGTACAAAACTGTCGAAGCCAAAGCAGAGGAAGACTCCATTGTTATGAAATTTCCTGTAAAAGTCTTTGAGGAGACATTCCGCAAGCACCCTGACATGTTTGTACGTGTTATTCAGATCATCATGGTCAGGCTGATGCGTGTGACCTTCATGGCACTTCATCAGTACCTTGGGCTTTCAGCAGAGCTTATAAATAAGGTAAGTTTTTGGGACTTGCACACTAATAAAAGAAACAGACAGTCATTTTATTTCAAATTAAAAAGTACAGACAGTTATTTCACTTCATAAAGAAATGAACAATACTATAATTAGAAAGTAAACAAAATTCAGAAATAAAGAACATAAGGAAGTGTATGGATTAGAAATGCATATTAATGAATATCACGCTTTGTAAGAAAATATTAGAATTAGGCATAACAAGAACAAAGAGAAGACTTGAAATTATTAATAGACATATTGCATTGACCTCAGTTATGTTGATATAAAACACTGACTTCAGCTGAAAAGATTTCTCTTTTGTCTTTTTCTTTCTATGGAAACACAGCTTGTATGTACCAAAGAGTTTTTTCTTTTTTTCTTTTGTGTACCACAATGTTTTTTTTTTTATTGCATAATACTATGGCATGAGCAGTATGTCTTTTGCTAGTAACACTAAAGGGGATTTTTAAAAATCTTTAAATTTGTGTTGTTGCTCTTATTCGTTAAAAGATCGAACTTTGCTCTATTGTTATTTATCTCCCTCTTTTCCTTGTTAGTTGCACATTGCAGTTTGCATTGTTTTGTGTTTCTCAGACAGCTTTTAAAAATCAGATTATTTCAGTGTAGTGCGTGTAGATTATTTCTTCTGCATTAATGTAGAAAAGTAAATATATATTTTTGATTAAATTTATATGTAATTTTTTACCTGAATGAACTACAATGTCATTGGGCCTGTTCAATAAACAGATTTATAAAATAAGTTTGGAAGCCTTGACAATATTGCTATTGATATAAAGCTTGATAGGGGAAAATAAAGAGAATATATGTATGTATTACTTTGCATTTGTTTACATTTTTTACAGGTGCCTAGAAGAGGGAGTACAGGCAATATTGTTCCTTCTTTAGCGTCTCCCAACAAGGTAAAACGGGACAGTTTATCGACCCCTGATGGTGACGGGGATGACGAAGGCGAACACCAGGGTCCGGAGACACCCGTGAGGCAAGGCAGCCAGCGGAAAATTGTCCTTGTTGATCCAAAGGACGAACAAGATGATGCTCACACCTTGAAACTGGCCACGGAAAAATTCCAGGGACTCTTACACCTGGAGTCCGATGAGATCCTAAAGGGGGCTGTTCAGGTGAGGGATGTGCCAGCTGGGTCCTTCCTCATGAAGCAGGATTCAATGCAAGAAGCGGCTCTGGTGTACATTCTCATGGGCACGCTGACAGTGTCCCAACACGCTCCTGACACACCTGATGATGTTCTCCTGTTCACTGCACACCCTGGGGACCTCGTGGGAGGCTTAGCTGTGCTTTCGGGTGATCCATCTTTCTTCACAGTAAAGGCAAAACATTCAGCTCGAGTGGCATCTATCAGCAAAGAAACATTTTATGCGTGAGTTTCATAGAGTACAGTTGCCTTTCTCATTGAGATCATGGATGAAATTTAATCTGTATTTACACTTGAAGTATAAAAAAAGATTATTCATGAATATTGTTACAATAACTGAGAGAAAATGAAATATGATATAATCTTGGACATCCACAGTATCATCAAGAAAACACCAGAGGTTGTATTGCATGTTGCCAACACTGTCCTACGTCGCATGTCACCTTTCGTGAGACAGATTGATTTTGCCCTTGACTGGGAACACCTAGAGGCTGGTCGAGCACTGTACAAGTAAGTAAGAAGAGATTTATAGAGCTGGAGGATTTTATAGGGATTAAAGATTAATTTAGAAAAATAATATTATTGAAGAGATAAGAAATAAAGTGAAAAAGATACTTTGATATATGTTGTATAACTCTTGATTTTTGCAGACAAGGCCAGAGAACAGATGCAACCTTTATTGTTTTAAGTGGTCGGTTACGATCTGTTATCACTTTGAAAGATGGCAGGAAGGAAGTCGTTGCTGAGTATGGCAAGGGTGATCTTGTTGGAATTGTAAGTAATTAATAACAATTTTATTTTTGACTTGAATATTAGGGCCTAATAGAATTTAGAAGATGATGAATTCAACTGCAATTTTGAGATCTTTTAAGAATATCAGTAAATTTGTAAACTAAGATATTCTATAGCTAGTAGATGTGAATGATATGTAATTAATCGGTATTCATGATCTTCCAACAGGTGGAGCTATTAACGCAGACAGACCGTAGTACTACTGTTATGGCTGTGCGAGATTCAGAATTGGCAAAACTGCCTGAAGGTCTTTTTAACATTATCAAGCTGAAACACCCTGTTGTGATGACTAGGTTGATAAAGCTGCTAGGGCAAAGACTTCTCGGTAAGTCCTTTGGTATTAATTAATGTATTCCAGCTTGTTACTAATTTTTTTAATAGAATTTTGATTTATCTGGTATAAAGGAAGTAGAATTAAGCTTTATACTTTTTTTTCCATAAATTGATTAACATGGAATTTTTCTTCATGTATAGAGCATATAGATTCATCCTTTAACTTCAGGCTCATGGAAATCGACATCTACCTCCCCTGCACCACTTGGGCTCAACATTGAACAGCGACCTTCTCAAAGCAATTATTCAACTGTGGCCATAGTTCCTGTTTCAGAAGATGTACCTCTTTCTCAGTTCACCCTAGAATTGTATCATTCTCTCCTTTCCATTGGTAAGCTTTCAGTGTGTGTGTGTGTGTGTGTGTGTGTGTGTGTGTGTGTGTGTGTGTGTGTGTGTGTGTGTGTGTGTGTGTGTGTGTGTGTGTGTGTGTGTGTGTGTGTGTGTGTGTGTGCGCGTGCGTGCATGCGTGCGTGCATGTGTGTATTTTAAATATAATATGTATGTAAATATGTATTTATTTATTTTTTGGAATAACTCAAATGGGTTAATAAGTTTCCCTGATTATGAGGAATGATAAACATAGTTTTATGGGCTGTAGAAGCTGTTTTCTCTCATTTTTTTTTTCCCCTAGAACCTTTAACATGTTAAGTTACTTTAATGTCATTACAATATTCCACAGGTCCTGCAGTTCGACTGACCTCTGAATATGTGGTGCGTTCAATGGGTACAAGTATATGGGAATCAGCAAATGAATATCAACTCATATCATGGCTGGGGCACATTGAGGACCAACACCGAGTGACTTTGTACCAGTGTGATTCATCCCTGACTGTTTGGACTCAGCGCTGTATTCGTCAGGCAGATGTGATACTTACAGTAGGGTTAGCGGAGAGTGAGCCTCAAATGGGCAAGGTAAGAAGAGAAAAGTGAATGTAATTGTTTTAAGAACATGAGATGGTTTTACTGGTATATGTTACATGGCCAAATATGCATTTGTTTATGTGCTAAGAATAAAGTTAATTTGCTGTTTAAGAAAGCTGCAGATAGCTAGAAACAACACTAAAAAGTTTGGAAATGTTTGTATATACTAATTTTTTCCCACAGATTGAAAAGCATGTTGAAAAAATGGCAGTGAGGACTCAAAAGGTGCTAATTCTCCTTCATCGTGAGGAAGGACCCCCTCCCTCAGGCACAGTGCGCTGGCTCAACATGCGGTCTTGGTGTCAGTCGCATCACCACATTCGAGCACCAAAGAGAATGTTTCACAAGAGACCACCTTCAAAAATTGTAAGAATGAATGTCTTGCTTTGTACAATTGTGCTATTTATTTTGTTTATTAGGTTTTATCTCATTCCATGATTTTATATCATGTGTAATATCTTACATTCTGTTACACAACACATCCCTGCTGGTAGCTCTTTTATGAATAGAAATACAAAAATATTAATTTTATATTGTATTGCACTTTCTACATATATTGATTTTTTTATTTTATTTATTTTTTTAATTAATTTATTTTTTTGTATATGGATAATAATTTAAAGAACCAGAAGTCTTATATCCTACATTTTTTTTTTACTTTTGTGATCTGATTTATCACTGTCAATCTTATTTAGGTTGAATACTACACTGACAAGGTGTTCGGAACCAAGCCCAATGTACACAGCGACTTCTCTCGCTTAGCAAGACTTTTAACTGGCACAAGTGTCGGGCTCGTGCTTGGTGGAGGAGGAGCTAGAGGTGCAGCTCATATTGGCATGATCAAAGCAATCAAGGTCTGTCTTTATGTTGTTAAAAAGATAGTAATGATAATAGTAATAATGATAAGAATAATGGTGATAATTTAAAGAAATGAGTAGATTGACAAATATCATCTTCATTTTGAAAAATACTTTGAGGAAATATTATATACCTATTTTTTTTCTGTAATTGAACTTTCAGTTTTATTGTAAGCTATGTATCAGGTTATTCATCAATACACCTCACATGAATTACAGGAAGTTGGTATTCCAATTGACATGGTGGCTGGTGTGAGCATTGGAGCTTTTGTGGGTGCCCTTTACAGTCTAGAGAAAGACATTACAAGAGTGACACAGAAAGCCAGAGAATGGAGCATGGTATGTTATTGTTCTTCTATGTTTTTATCTTAAGAACTGATGGTTATTTTTAATTCTGTTTGATTTTACTAATTAATGAATTCACTGCTTGTGTGAGGAATGTAAATTCTTAGAATATATAGTTAATAAGGAAAACTAGGATGTTATTATAGTATAATCATAGTTTTCTGGTACGTCTAACCCCTTCAAAATCCTTCTACCTTTTACAGTTGTTACAGTACTGTGAATCCTTTGATCTGATAAAGATAGTCATAAAAATAATTGTATAATTTTCTTCTGAGTGTACTTTTGTTACTGTATATAATAGGAGTATTTTATTTTATTTTTCTTCTTCTTCTTCATATTTTTATGTCTTGTTTGTTTGTTTTTGTTTTTGTAGATTTTTGTAGTTATGGTTAACAGTATGAATATGTGAACTTGCTAAGGTTTTGGCTAGTTAACCCAGTTATTTAGTCACCCAATGTGTTAAAAGAGTTTTTGTAAGTGTGATGTCTATTCAAAATAGAAATCAGTCCTTAGATACCAGAATCCAATATCATCCCGAAAGTAATTCACGTTCGCAATTTGTGCTCTCCAGAAAATGACAAGCATATGGCGCATGGCCCTCGACCTCACCTACCCCGAGGTGTCCATGTTCTCTGGTGCTGGCTTCAACAAATTGCTTCATGACGCCTTGGGTGACACCAACATAGAGGACCTATGGCTGCCCTACTTCACTCTCACCACCGACATCACGGACTCCGTCGCGCGCATCCACACTCACG